CTCAGCACCGCTATCCCTGAGAACGAGTCCAAAAGGGTGTCCCCTAAGAAAGCACCTTTCCCACGCCCAGGAGCTGGCCCTGGGGGAAGTGGATGTTAATAGGCTGGAGAGAAGTTACTGCTTCTCCATCTGTCCCCAATTCTGAACCTTGGCTGCATGCTAAACTCTTTAAACAGATCTGGCCGGACAATGAAAGAAGCTCCCAGAAAGACACGAGAGCCCGGTGGCAGGCAACAAGGGGATGCTTGTCCGGATCCAAATCCGGGCTGCTGCGCCCTTGACCTCCGGCTGCTGAGACACCTGTTGCTGGCGCCCTTGGCTTCCCCGGGCGCTCTCGCACACGGCAGTAACTGGGAATCGTCAACGCACCGGAGCTTTTGCTCTGGGCCAGACACTTCACGAGCACTGGCTCGCTGCTTGTCCCACCTACCCACTGAGGCAGGTCCACCGTTAGCCCAATTTCATAGATGAGGAGACTGACTTGAGTTAGGGACCTGTCTGGAACTGGCTCAAGGTGACGGGGCTGGCGAGTAGCAGCTGCCAAGCAGGGACTCAAATCTCACCAGCTGCCTTCTGAGGGCACCTCTTCATCGCCACTCTGGATGCCCGTACCGTCTTGGGCCATTTACCACCCTCTGGCTCCTCGTGCGGGGGCTTTGAAGGCCCATAGATGCAACCAGGAAGCTCAACCAGGTAGAGCATCACCGTACCCATCTGTCACACTCAGTGGTGGGTACCACTGAAGGCATTAGCCACGTGTAGGTGGGAACTTAAGGCGCAAGATGACTTGCTTAACTGACGCAGAAGTCTGAGACACAAGAAGAAACCCTAGGTCCTCATGACCCAACGTGTGAAAAAAAAAAAATAAAGATCTTACCAAAGCTCAGAGCTTGTTGATTTTGGATGGCTTAACAGAATGGGCTAGATGCCTCTGGCGACCTGGAAGGACAGTCCAGGAGTGGAGACTGTGACGTCAGGTGGAAACTTGCTTCTCTGACTTCACAACAGATCCGATCTGTTAAGACCGATCCCCAGAGATGTGAGTAGATTGCACACTCTGGAGAGGAGTGCACGAACCATCCCTAGTCTAAGGGATCCTCAGACTCAAGTCGGAACGAGTGGATCCCTTCCGCTTGGGTTACAATTCCCCGATTCTAGTCCCGGACATAAGCTAAGCACCAGAATGACTAACAGACCTCACGGGTTTGTTAGTAAATGTGGAAAGGGCTGCAAACTATAACCTCTCTGGGTGAGCCGCAGATGTGAGGAGACAGTAAAGGCTCTGGAAAGCCCTGCAGCCAGCCCTCCCCAAGAGCCCTTCCTTTACACAGCACGTGTCAGCACCCACTGGATGCTGTATTGCACACAACACACTTGGAAAATATTAAATATTAATACTGGACCAAGGAACCCCTCAACCCAAGCACGATGTGATGATTCATAGAGCAGGGGTCCCACACTGTCACCCATTATTTCCATAGGACTGTCACCTCTGGGGAAGACCAGAGGTTCTCAACTAGAGGCAATTTCACCCCCCGAGGGGATGGCGATACTTAGAGACATTTTGCGTTATCATTGGTGGGGGGAGTGCTCAGGGGTGCTGCGGAACACCCGATGGGACATAGGAGAGCCGAGCGCAACAGAAAATTGGGCCAAAATGTCAGCAGTGCTGAAGTTGAGAAACCCTGGGCTGGAGCCACAGAATCACTAGGAAATAAAGCACTGAATCCTCTGATGATGAGCTGATCGCTACGATGGGTTCTGGACTCTGTGCAATTTAATATTTTCCATAGACACCATCAAAGCCTTCCTTGGGGCCTCCTACCCTCCTCTCTATCTCTGTGCAGCAAAAATTAAAAATGCTGCTTAATTGCTTAAAAAAACAACAACCCAGTGTGAGTCAGCAGTCAATCAGTCATCACGTTTCTACCAATACTAACAAGCATGTTGACAAAATCCGAACACACGTGTTACTTGTAAGAGATGCGGCATTGATCCACTTACCAAATGTCCCAATTTTGGTTCTTTTCATCCTCCAGTTGTGCAATCCCCAAAGCAACAAATCTATGTTTCACACACACAAACACACACACACACACACACGCACACACACACACTGTTAGCCGATGATACTGACATCGTGCGGACATGTGTCTTCTCTGGTCTGTACCATTTTCCTGAGTGCAGAAAACAGAAATGTGGTCTGGGGCGCCTGGGTGGCTCAGTCGGTGAAGCGTCCGACTTCAGCTTAGGTCATGATCTCACGGCTCGTGAGTTCGAGCCCCACATCAGGCTCACTGCTGACAGCTGGGAGCCTGGAGCCTGCTTCGGATTCTGTGTCTCCCTCTCTCTCTCTGCCCCTCTCCCACTAATGCTCTGTCTCTCTCTTTCTCTCTTTCAAAAATAAATCAACATGAAAAAATTATTATTATTATTTTTTAAGAAATGTGGTCGAAAGGCAGTACTCAGAGTGGACCAAGAGAAAGGAGGAACTTTAAAAATCCACACCCTGGGTCCTCTGATAATCAAAGGTTGATCAGAACATATTTATTTTCAAAAAACGTGTGAGCTTTTCCTTACTGCTTATCACACAGGCACGGACATTTGAAGGACAGAAAGATCTGCATGAAGGGATATTTAACTACAGGGGGTTGTAGTAGAGGGCTAGGCTGGGAGCACATATTTTCATGGTTTGTAGGCAAATTTCCTTGTGGCTCACCCACAGCTGAAATTCTTTCAAGTCCTTGGCCCATGAGCTAGCGCTAATTTGCATGGTATTATTTTTTCCATCGGTTTAACAAACCGAGAGCATGATTGCCGATCTTGGCCTGTTTTCCTCCTCAGCATGAGCAGTGACCCGTGTGCGGGAGGATGATTTATTGAGATATTAATTTGGTTTTTTTTTTGTTCTTGCAGAATTTCTCCCACCCCCGTTCTGAGAAGGTAGCTGGGCTTTTGCGTTTGTCTCCGAGGGTGTTTATGATCTAGGACCGAGCACGCACTTTGGACAGGCTACCCCACTCCTTCCTTCTTTGGCTTTTTTGACTTTTGGATTTCTGGGAAGCCTAAACTCAGTGAGGGGATACGCTTGACAGGGGAGTTTGACAGAGACCAGGAGGTGCCTACCGAAGCAGAGAGTATTGGGGAGGTACGCAGATTCCCCGAGCTTAGGAAAGGTGGCTTTGGGGTCGTGTGTCTGGCCTGTTTCCTGGGGGTGACCCAGTGTGGCAGAAAATGGCTGCATAGCGTGCCTAGGAAGGTGCATTTCAGGTACCAGAAACCCCCCCTAGTTCTATACTTGCACTTGAGATCGTTCCAGACCCCACAGTTTCCCACCTGGACGAGGCTAGGTGATGGGATGTGGATTAGGGGGTCCTCCTCAAGTGTTCTACCACCGGAAAACCTTCAGGCCATCCCCCCAACACTGAGGGGGTTTGCGGAAAGGAGATCCCGTGATGGCTGAGATTCAATTCCCAACCAACCCAATAGGAGTTTCATTTCATTTGACTTTCTTTCAAGAAAAGTTTCATTTCATTTGATTTTATTTTTTTATTTATTTTTTTTTTTAGGAGAAGAAATCAGGGCGCCTGGGTGGCCCAGTGGGTTTGACGTCTGACTTCGGCTCAGGTCGGGATCTTGCGGTTCGTGGGTTCGAGCCCCGCCTGGGGCTCTGTGCTGAGAGCTTGGAGCCTGGAGCCCGCTTCGGATTCTGTGTCTCCCCCTCTCTCTGCCCCTCCCCCACTCACGCTCTGTCTCTCTCTTCTCTCTCTCTCAAATAAACTTTAAAAAAAGAAAAAGAAATCCATGTTACGTCTCCCTCACACCTGTGCTTGAGGAGTAAAATCAGATTTTGCTGGAGTAACAATTTCATCCGGAAATCTCAGTGGGTTTAGCCCAACGAAGCCTTCTCTCTCACTCACGTGCCTACTTGTTTAATGAAGGTCACAGCACGACTCAGGGACCCGGCTTTAGGGACACACCGAGATCCCAGTGAGTGGCCTTCGAGATCATCACAGGGAGAAAAGAGAGGCACCGGCTGTTAAGGTCTTTGGCCGGGAAGTGACATAGTCACCCCAACTCCCATACCATGGGCTAGAACCAGTCATAGGGCCTCCGCCTGGCTGCAAGGGGGCTGGGAGACAAGGGGAACACGTGGATTTTGACGCCTCTGCCGCAGTCTCACGATACTTAGTTCACATAGGATGACTTTTTTTTTTTTTTTTCTTTTTCAACGTTTATTTATTTTTGGGACAGAGAGAGACAGAGCATGAACAGGGGAGGGGCAGAGAGAGAGGGAGACACAGAATCGGAAACAGGCTCCAGGCTCTGAGCCATCAGCCCAGAGCCCGACGCGGGGCTCGAACTCACGGACCGCGAGATCGTGACCTGGCTGAAGTCGGACGCTTAACCGACTGCGCCACCCAGGCGCCCCAGGATGACTTTTTTTTTTAACGCTATCAACTTGCATTTGTGTAGAGCTTATTAACAAATGCATCCGGGGGGTTCTTTGCATGGATTATATCTAGTTCCCTCAAGCCCTGTGAATACGTCATCCCTCCCGTCTCCAGAAGAGGAAATTAAGGAAACAGCACGGGAAATGGAAAGGAGGGCCGAACAGCCAGGCCGTCTGACCTGAGCCTTTTCTGTTCTTCCACCAAAGCCTGACATCACAATGTGGGGGAGACAGCCTATCAGGAACCGATGTTCCCCGATTATAAAAGCAACATTTCTTGGTGTAAAAATCAAAAAACAGAGGGTGCGGAGAAAGCGATGCTCCGTCAAGGGTTTATTTAGATTCCTGCCGGGGCCTCCGTAAAGACAGGGAGAGGTCGTGGGGGAGACCGCGAAACACGCTGATCTGTTCGCCAGCGGGAAAGCAGGGACTGTATGGAGATTTGAGTGAGATTTTTGCAGAATGGGCGGATTTCACAACACAAACTCGTTTCTATCCGGTTGAAATACAATCACTTCCTCCTCTCGGAGCTGGCTTCATGCTGTGTTGCAACAGATCTCTTGTTTTCGCAGGGCCACGTGGATTCCCAAGCCCATCCTGACCTCATGGGGTCACCGCTCTGGCTCAGCGGTTGAGTGAGACCTAGCCAGGGTCTTACTCAGGGGCTTCTGAGCTGGAGGGGAGCCCAAGGAGAGGAGGCCTGAATAGGAACGGGCGTTTCAGGACCCATTCCAGGCACGGGAACCGTGGGGACAGACCTCCGTTCTGATGAGCAAAAATCAGAGGAACCAGTGATCCGAAAGGGGTCTACGTGTCGGAACAATGGTAAGAAGACTCGCTCACCTTGACGCGTTGCCTCCCCTGTGCCAGGCGCTATTTTAAGCACTTTGCAACTTTGAGCTGTTGAATCCTCACAGAAATTCCGTATAAAATCAGTGTTGCCGTCACGACTTCCTTAAAGGCACGGGGACCAGATGACTTGTCCCGGGTCACACGGCTACAAAGTGGCAGGGCTGTGATGAAACCCAAGCCTGGAATCAAAACGTGGGTGAGAGATTCTACCAATAACCGATGTTCCCTCTGTTTTAAAAAAGCAAATTTTTGGGGGGGTGTAAAAATAAAAAAGCAGGTCTGTGGTGTATAAGGACTGACAAGTTGAGCTATTTTTAATTTTTATTTATTTATTTACGTGCATTTATTTTGAGAGAGACAGAGAGGGCGCGGGTGGGGGAGGGGCAGAGAGAGAGAGGGAGAGAGAGAATCCCAAGCAGGCTCCCTACTGTCTGTGTAGAGCCTGACGTGGGGCTCGAACTCATGAGCTGTATGATCGTGACCTGAGCCGAAACACAAGGGTCTCTTAACCACCTGAGCCAGCCAGGCGCCCCAGTTGAGCTATCTTTTAAAGCTTTTTTGGTGCTTCTAGCCGACCCGGCAATAGCGATTCCTGTGTCCGCAGCAGACAGGTAAGGAGCATTTCTGCCTCGGGCATGTCTGGGCCGTGATGCAAGGGGGCATCTGAGAGCTCCGCCCGCAAGGCCTCCTGCCCTCCAATCTCACTTCAGATATGCTTCCAGGACCCGATCTGAGACAGGAGGCAAAGATCAAGTCAGTGTGGAATTTCCGCCTTTGAAATCCGGTTTCTAGGGGAACCTAGCCTGTCTGAGCCTTTCTCTTCGACCCAAGGTGGGCGTAGTAACAGTACCTCTCTTGTGGGGTTGTGGTGAGAATTAAGTGAGATAGTATGCAAAGGACACAAGCCCTGTGCCTCGCCCCGAGCGCCCAGAGTACGTGCTCACCAAGGGTCGGCTACTGTCAACGTCACCAACTCACCAGAGGCACGGCCGGACGGGAAAGAGATCAGCCTGTTTAACTGGCTGAAAAAATACTCGGTGACAAGAGATGAGAAGAGAAGAATTAAAATGGCATCTGCCATCTGCAGGACTCCTGTCGTTTCAAGTCGTGTGACCGAGGACCGTTCGCTGACGGACCCGTTTTCGCTCAGAGCGTGAGTGTAGGGGGTGGGAAGGGGTGTGGTTTCTTTTCTCTTTCTTTTAAATTTATTTACGTATTTTGCGAGTGAACACAAGCGGGGGGGGGGGGGCAGAGAGCGAGGGGGAGAGAGCGAGAATTCCGAGCAGGCTCGGCACCGTCCGGGTGGAACCCGACGCAGGGCTCGAGCTCACGAGCTGCGAGACCGTGACCTCAGCCGAAGTTGGACGCTGAACCCCCCAGGCGCCCCCGGGGTGTAATTTCTGAAAGAGGTAGGCTAATTGCACATTGACCCGGTTCTGTGTTTTCTCCGCCTGCAAGCATGAGGCATTTGACGTCCCGGTGACCACGGACAAATCAATACATGTATTTTGTCTCTCTGGATGCACTGGGGCTTCCAGACAAGCGGGGGGCCCTGGCTGGGCTGGACCCACGGGTGTTTCACCCTAGCAATGGAGCTGACCCCGGCTGCTGAGTGTCATCGACCTGAGTATCACACACACATGAGTAAGGCTGGATACGGACAGGTAGCAAGTTGCCCGCATGGAACATAAAACAATGTACCACATGAACCAGGCACCCTGTTCAGTGCGGGACAGACCCCGCTACCCCTTGGGGGTGGGTATTACAGCCCCCCACTCCTGACCCGGACGCTGAGGTTCCAGGAAATGAGCCTCAGGCCTTTGGGCGCCTGGTGGCAGAGCTGGCATTTAAACCCAGAACTGCCTAACTACAGAGCCTCTCAAGTACTCTTTTTTCTCATTCATTTACCAAACATTTATGAGGCACCTGTTGTGTGCAAGCAGCCTTTTAGGTACGGGATCACACTGCCAAAGAGGCGAGCAAGCCTCCGTCCAGCGGCTCCTGTGGCTGCCGCAAGAAATAACCCCAAACGTGGTGGCTTTCCAGAAATTTATTTTCTCACCGTTCTGGACTCCCAGAGCTTGACATCGAGGTATCAGTGAGGCTATCAGGCTCCTTCCAGGAGCCCCGGGGGAGAATCCATTCTTTTTTTCTTTCAGCTTCTGGTGGCTGTTGGCCTACCTTGCCTGGTGGCCACATCACCCCGGTCTCTGCCTTCTTGGTCGCACCGTGTCCTCTTCTGTGTCTAACCTCCCTCTGCTTTTCCTTATAAGGACCCTTGTTCTTGTTTTAGGACCCACCCAGATCATCCAGGATGATCTCCTCATCCTAAGATTCTGAATTACATCTGCGAAGACTTTTCTCCCCCACCACCCCCTAAGATACCAGTGAAAGATTCGGGGGGGATTCGGATGTGGATATATCCATTCAGTTTGATACAATCCTTAAACGCTTGCGATCTAGTGAGGTTTTACGCTAAGCAGATCAATAAACAAGAAGGCGTTAAATTGTGTCAAGAGCCCTGATGAAAATAAGGCAGGAGTGGCAAGAAAGAGTTGGGGACCCGTCTAGGTTGATGGGACAGGAAAGATCCCTGTGAGTGGGCGGTTTTGAAAGGAGATCCAAAGGGCAAGAAGGAGCCAGCTGTCTCCTTTGGGGCGCAAATATTCTGGCCCATCTGCTTGTTTCTGTTTTTGTTTTGAGAGGGAGAGAGAGCGCACAAGTGGGAGAGAGAGGAAGAGAGAGAGAAAGAAAGAAAGAGAGAGAGAGAGAGAGAGAGAGAGAGAGAGGAAAATCTTAAGCAGGCTCCACACTCAGAACAGAGCCCGACTCAGGGCTCAATCCCATGAACCTGGGATCATGACCTGAGCTGAAACCAAGAGTCAGAGGCTCAACCGACTGAGCCCCCCAGGCACCCCTCCCATCTGCTTACTTTTCTATACTTAACGAGTAACTGATGTTTTTGGATGAGTTGGGCATAGCAACCCTCCCCGCCGCCAGGAAAGTCAGGAGGAAGCATTTTTGTAAGTGCAGACAAAACAGTTTTCATATCACAGTTCATGAGTAGTCTTAACAGACCGCTTAGCTCTGTTATTGCCTGAAAGAAGGGCCATAGAACAACTGCCATAAATCCAAGCTCATCATTTCTGGCTGACCTCCTCAGACCTTTTTAATGGCTTTACAGCTCATAACAGAACAGAAAACCACCTCATTCGGTTACATTTTGCAATGAATTTAACCCTCAGGGACCACTAGTAAGTTCCACTGCTCAAATTAGGCTTTCGATCGTTGCTCTGTTGATGGTTTTTTTAATACCTAAGGTGGGCATTTGGTTATTATCTATTTTCATATTTTTCCAGCCCCAAATCTTGCAGTCACATGCTACGGCATATGGCTTGGAGGTACTGATTACCCTCTGGCCCATCTGTCACAGCAGATCCACACGTATCTCGGGAGGATCCCGACTGCCCTTGGAACTTGGGCTCCTCGCTGGGCACAGGTCGGTGGCTTTGAATCCACTCACCCGTCTGGTTTGACCGTGACTTTCTTCAAGAGCCTTTTGTTTTTATCTCCAAGTTTAGCCAACAGCCAAGTCTGTTTCTCTGCGCTGAATGTCAACCCTGACGAGCTGCACTCCAGGTGCCTCCAGGAGTTTGACCCTAAATGCGCTGCCACTCAGTGTCGATCAGAAGCTCTGCTAAGACAGCGGGAGGGGTGGAGGACTTCCCCAAGGGTGGGGAATGCTCCCCATTCCCCTGGAACCTCAGCGCTGTCGATTTTCTCCTTAGATAAGACAAGCCGGCAGGCCTGTGTGCCGGGAACTGGGCAGTGCGGCCCACGGGGACATGACTGCACGTACTTGCTCTGGGACACAGTGCTGCTCATGCTGGGGAGTGCACGGAGTCACTGACGGGACCGTCTTCCAAGGTGGAGGACCCTGGTCCTTACCCACAAGGTGTCCTCTGAGCGGTAGGATGTGAGGGAGGAGGACCCCGGGGAATTGACGGGAACCCTACGGTCTTCCTGGGCCACAGGCTAGCATTCGCCCTGTAGACACGACTGATGGGTCTCCGAGCACAGCTAACTAACTCTGGGGTGGGCAGGTGTTCACAGAAGTGCTCTGAGAAGCTCTTCACTCTAGGCCCCATCTGTCCTATTTTCCCTTGGACTTGTTTTTCTCAACTATTTTACATTTATTTTATTGTATTTTTAAAATTTTTTCATTAAAAATTTTTTTTAATATTTATTGATTTTTGAGAGAGGGAGAGAGAGAGAGAGAGAGGGCAAGTCGGGGAGGGGCAGAGAGAGAGGGGGCAGAGGGTCCGAAGCCGGTTCAGCTGTCAGCACGGAGCCTGATGTGGAGCTTGAACTCATGAACCACGAGTTCATGGCCTGAGCCAAAGTCAGATGCTTAACCGACTGAGCCACCCAGGTGTCCCTACATTTATTTTAGGAGATAGATCATAACGATGTTTATGATCTATCTCATCATAAAATAATATGACAGTTACAAAGGTAACTGACGGCCTTTCTATTCATAACGGTACGGGGGGCAGGGTGCTCTCCCCAAACACCTAACGTCCAGGACCTAAACCCTTGGAACTGGGGAATGTGACCTTGTTTGGAAATGGCAGCTGTGCAGATGTAACACAGTTCAGGATTTTAAGAAGAGATGGTCTTGTAGTATTCAGGTGAGCCCCAGATGCAGTGACACGTGGCCTTCGAAGAGAGACACATGGGCGGAAGAGGAGGTGATGTGACCGTGGAGGCAGAGCTTGGGGTGATGCGGCCCCGAGTCCAAGAATGCTGGCAGCTACTCTTGTAGAAAGGACTTGTGCCCCCCACCCCCCCACGCCCCGCCTCCCCAGAGCCTCTGACACCTTGGTGTCAGATTCAGCCTCCAGAAGTGTGCAAGGAAACATTCGTCACCGCAGCCCTAGGAAACCAATGCAGTGACGGAATTCCCTTCTCAGAACTTGCTCAGGAAATGCCAAGACCCAATGGCTCAAAGACGTGGCTGCCAGCTTCTGAGACGTGGGGCGTGGTCTCAGGCTCGCAGCTGTTGCCGAACGTCTCGTAAAGTATCTCTGCCCAGGGGTCCAGGCATGGAGCAAAAAAGTGTGTGGCGTTAAAATCCTTCCTTGATGGCAGGGGCGCCTGGGTGGCTCAGTCGGTTAAGTGTCCATCTCTTGGTTTCAGCTCAGATCATGATCTCATGGTTGGTGAGATTGAGCCCCATGTCAGGCTCTGCCCTGACAGGGTGGAGCCTGCTTGGGATTTTTTTTTTTTTTATTTATTTTTGAAGGAGAGAGAGAGAGAGAGAGAGAGACAGAGTGTGAGCAGGGGAGGGGCAGAGAGCGAGGGAGACACAGAATCTGAAGCAGGCTCCAGGCTTCGAGCTGTCAGTACAGAGCCCGACGCGGGGCTCGAACCCACGAACCCTGAGATCATGACCTGAGCTGAAGTCGGATACTTAACCGACTGAGCCACCCAAATGCCCCCTGCTTGGGATTTTCTCTCTCTCTCTCCCTCTGTCTCTCTGTCTGCCAACCCCCTTCCCCCCTGCTCCGCTCTCTCTCTGTCTCAAAATAAATAAATAAACATTAAAAATATTTTAAAGTCCATCCTTGATGGTATTTGATTTTCTGATAGCAAATGATACTGGAAGACCTCAGTTTCTCATTCTTCTATTAGAATAACATAATGCTTATGATTATAATAAACACAGCACACAAATGTTTCCCTGTGTTGTTCTGACACCATCAAGTTTCACTGAGGGAGTTTCTGTCCATTTCAATGGAGACTCCTCTGAGAGGTGTGGTCTCTGATGGTCTCCGTACAAGGCAGTACTCGTAGTTTTTCCCCGGGGGTCCTGCATAGCATCCACTACAGACAGTTGAGGCCCCACCAGCCCAGGCTGTTGCCAAGGACGCTGCTTTATAACACAGCTTTATAACAATTTGTGCTTCAAAACACAGATTGACTGGATGTCTTTCCATGGGGACACTCAGGTCAACCTCTTACTGGCTGTAAACACCAATCTACGGTGAATGAATTACAGACTGTTTAAAAGAGCTTCAGGAAAGGGGCACCTGGGTGGCTCAGTCGGTTGAGTGTCTGACTCCGCCTTGGGTCGTGATCTCACGGTTCGTGGGTTCGAGCCCCGCGTCGGGCTCTGTGCTGACAGCTCAGAGCCTGGAGCCTGCTTCGGATTCTGTGTCTCCCTCTCTCTCTGCCCCTTCCCCATTCACGCTCTGCCTCTGCCTCTCTCAGAAATAAATAAGCATAAAAAAACAATTAAAAAAAAAAAGCTTCGGGAAGTGAAAAGGACTCTCCATATTCATGCCATTACTAATATTAACGATTATTATCACAAATTCCCTATAGGTAAATAACAGATAACGGTCTTTGGAGATTTGCTTATGAAATAATAGGCGCTTAATACACCTGATAAGTGAAAACAAATTTTCATCGCTGTTCTAAATATTCTGGCGGTTCACAGGAAAGGAAGTGTTTACAGATTTACAAAACGGGCTTTAAGCACCCTTGGAGGATGGCATTGTGTCCTTGGCCCATCAATCAGAGGACCTGTGGCCTTGGGGAGGAGGAGGACCATCCTAGGAGGGGTGCAGGGAGACAGAGAGCCAGGTGTCGGCTTCTGGTCTGAAAAATGGTCTCCAGAAGAAGGGAGATCTTCAAGTCTACCCACAAACAGGTAGGTTAAAACAAAACTAAACGAAGAGCTAATCACTTGGCCCTAAGGAAAGGATTGAGGCCATCTTGTCTGTGAACGAGGGAGTTTTTAAGGGCTTGAAAAGGGAGGCCCGGAGGCCTGGTGAAGCTGGGAGAACCACACTGGGGGAGAGGACAGTTTCAGAGACAGCTTGGCTTTGCCGTGTGCCCCAGGGAGCTGAGGTGCAGGCAGGCCTGAGCCAGCAGATTAGCCCTAACTATCCCTGTCAGTTAGCCTCTGTATTATTAGTCTGCTCAGGCTGCCATAACAAAATACCACCCACCGGGTGTGGCTTACACGACAGAAATTTATTTCCCATGCTTCTGGAGCCTAGAAGTCCAAGATCAAGGTGTCACCGAGATGGTCTCTCCCAAGGCCTGTCTCCATGGCTTGCGGACGGCCGCCTTCTCCCTGCGTCCTCAGATGGCCTTCCCTCCGTACATAAATATATCTCCCGGGGTCTCTCCTGCTTCTTTCACGGACACTAGTCATAGGGGATTAAGGCCCCACCCTGGTGACCTCATTTAACCTTAATTATCTCTTTATAGGCCCAGTCTCCAAAAACAGTCACATTCTGAGGTGCGCTGCAGGTAAGAACTTGAACATATGGGTTTTGTGGGAACATGATTCAGTCCACAACTGCTTCACTCGAGTTTTAAAGGGCTCTATTAGATTTCTTTCTCACGGACACATGTGGCAGGCTGTTGCCACTTACGGCTGCTGGCTCACTGCCTGACAAGTGCCAGCAACAGGGACTTCCTTGGAGCCTCTGCTCGGTCCTAAGGTATTAGACCACCTCCTCTCCAATGGCCAGGAGACCCAAATCTCCCCACGTGGGCTTTAATCTATTTTGGCCAACACAAGGCAGCAGAAGCGACATTCAGCAGGTCCTGGCCAGGACCCCAAGGGGTGATGCCCACTTCCACTCTCTCTTGGTAACCTTCCACCACTACGTGATGCAGGCGGGATTAGCTCACTGCCATGTGGAACCACCGTCATCGTCTCCGTCAAGGCCCAGACAGGCCCCCCCCCCCCGCCGGGAGGGGACACAGCCTAGCTCAGCAGAGTTTATGTGGCACCTGACCACAGATGTCTCATTGAGCCCAAGGAGGCCAGAAGAACCGCTCAGCTGAGCCCAGCCCAAATTGCAGACTTGCCGAATCGTGAGCCAGTAAATGGTTCTTGTTTTCAAGTCACGATATTTTGGTATGATTTGCTGTGCAGCAAAGCAGGAATAGTACACAAGCCCTAAAGGATGCTCTCATTCGCTCAAGTGGCCACAAGCATTGGCAAAGCCATGGTGGGGGTGTGTGGCCACGCTCTCACTAGTGATAATAGCTGGGAGCGAGGGGGGTAAGGGAGGGCAGGGGGCTTGGGTTCTAGGCCCATTGGTTTTTGAGGAAAGAGGAAAAAACGTTTACTCTATTTCCATATAGTCCAAATCAGCAGCTTTCAAAAATTTTCTAGAAGTGGAACCTTCCTTACAGAAGAAACCTTGCACAGAATCCCAATGTATGAAATAAACCAGACTCGTCATTTATTATTATAAATCTAATTTATAGGCCAAAATATGTAAACTTGTTTTTAAAAGCTAATCGATAAGAACAAGAAGGAAAACAGGATTATGAACTCAAGCATTCAAAAGTGGGGGGGATGACAGATAGAAGTAGTCTTATTTCAGTACCTGATTAATTTCCGCACATCGTTTTGGTAGCACGGTACAAAAAATCGTGATAAACATACATAAGTAGTTGGGACGGGAGACGGTTTTTAATAGCTCACCCTGCAATCTCAGAATACTCCTCAATTAAACAACGATAGGAGGAGAAGCCATCTGTCCACCTAAGTTACCTGCCACAAGCTCTACAGGCTACCACGTGTGTAGAACACAATCGGGTGTGAGTTTTCCCATACAGGAACTTCAGAGCTGTGTTAAAGTACACTCTTTCAAGATGAAAAATTAATCCGTCATTTGCAGAACTTGAGAAGCATCTCCCAGAACCCTGGAAGTTCATGGAGCACATCTCAAAAATGCCTGTCCCATACTTTCGCTCTGATAGACCTTGAAGAAGAAATCTTGGTCAAAGATGTGCTGTGCCTGGAAAACAGAGCAGCAAGGAGCCTTCAGGGACCAGAGGTTCACTCTCTTCCTTCCAAAGGAAGGGAGTCCTGAAGAAGGTAAGTGGTTTCCTCGGGACTGACACACAGGCATCTTGGCTCGAAGTGGAATCTCTTTTTGGGAGAAAGAGACATGAGCCCACGAATGAGCTGGGTCCACCTCGGTTTCTTCTTTGGGCTCCCATGTAGAGAGCAACGTTGATTTAAGCCCCAATAAATGAAGATGCCTGTCTTCTTCGGAGGATTTTAATGGTTGGTATAAAAAGCCCGCACACGTTAGGAATCTGTTGTGAATGAATTCGATTTTCAAGTCTCAATTAAAACTCCAGAACAGTAGCTAAAGGAGTCAGAAAGGGCCCTGCACTTAAGCTGAGAAACTTTCCAGCATCACCGGTGACAGTTTCTCCAGGACCCTTGAAGTCTACACCCAGGTGCACCGCTCCTCCCCTCAATGAGCCACCTGGCCTGAGAATGCACAGTTTCCAATGACTCCACCTCCCTGACGTCAGGGATTGGTTGAGAGGTGGGCACGCCTCAAAGCTGGGCCAATCATAGCCCTCTACAGCCTGGCTGTTTTCTCGGACCTGGCCAATCAGCATCTCTGCTCATTATCTTTTTTTTTTTTTTTTTTTTTGGAAACCGGAGACACCCTTTTTCTCTCTGGTCCTTGAGCAGCTGGGACCCAAAGCCGCAGGAGGGGATTAAGACAGGCCCTCACTGGGTTTTGGTTACTTGAGTCTCTACATTTCCTTTTCCTACTTGCGTTACTTTGAGTTGGGTTTCTGTCACTTGAAACCAAAGTAGACTTTCCAAAAGCAGTAAACTATTTCTTAGGAAAATAAGCATATGCACAGAATGCAAATTTGTCATAACATTTAAGGGAAACATAGACCTCATCCCTTGAACTCAGTAGGGTCCAGGGACCGCCCCCCTCCCCCTTCCGTGGAAAAAAAACCCAAAACCCTTTCAATGAAACAGTGGTTAATAAGGGGCTTGATTTGATGATGGAATTGCGGCTGGTCTTTCTCTAGCGTCTCCGACTGTTCCGAGGGGCGCAGAATGCGTAAAAAACACAGCTACTGGCTGTGCATAATTCTTAACTCAGAGTGGAAAACATGGGCTGAGCTGTAAGTGCAGATAAACACACTATTCCTATAGAATTTGTAACTCTTCAGCCATGGGGAAAAATGAGTCAGAAATCCAAAACTCCCCTTTGGACTAATGAAACTGAGACCCTGTGGGACACCTGACTTGGCCAGGAGAGACAATCTGTTCCTCTGCAGAGACTCCATTTTGGTTAGCAACATCAGAAATATTTCCCTACGACCCCCCCTCCCTCCCCCCCCCGAAATATTTCCCCACGATTCCACGACGACCCAGGTATTGATCGCAAGTTTGCTATTTGAGCTATGCCTGACTTCCCAGGGCCAGAGGCAGCTCTGATTTCCTTCTGCCAGCAGAGATCTTTTCTAACCCATCAACCTCGTCCAAGTTTTCTAAAATTCCATCTCTTCCCGGGCCAGCTTTTTTTTTAATAGCCCAGCTTCTCAGTCCATGTGCCCCCGTGCCAAACTCCTTAAGTTTCTCTTTTACTCTCCGTATTTTGCTGAGTCTTATTACAGGTTCTTGGCTTAGGAACCACAGTCCTCCACTATTTTCTATTCCCTGTGGCTTTCCAGATGGAACTGGTCTGTTCCTCGGGGATCCAATAAATCAGACCCTTTTCTGATTCTTAACGTTGCGTCGCGCCCAAGCCCGGTTCTGCTGGCCGCCCCCAGTTCTTCCCCTTCAGAGTCCCGGATGCCCGCGTCTCCACAGCACTCAGAACCCAGTCTGCCCTGATTTCACATTGCAGCCATAGGACATTCTTCCAAGTGACAGGGCACCAGAAGGGCTAAGCCCTTTTTGTTTTCTCCTTGCTATGGTTTTCATCAGGCATGTATGTGTGTGCCTGCCTCTGACAACAGGTTCGCAGATGCTCTTTGGCCTAGAAACTTCTGTTCCCCTAAAGCGGCAGCTGCTGAGAATGGTATATCCCCCACTCGGCTTGCGGCCACAGGCAGGCCGACTTCAGCAGAATCCACAGGCTCTCGTCGGCCTCAGCTTAATGAATAATCACAAGAAAAACATGGGTCAGCACTTGCCAAGGGGCAGCTCGGGGATTGCGTTGGCTCACTCAGGGTCTCCGTGCTTCCCACTTTCTTTAAGCAAGACTTCTTGGCCGCTCTTCCTCAGAAAGCACCGGAAGCGGAGGAAATTCCCTCTTCTTGGCATATGACACCCTCTCAACTTTCCTTCGGGGCTTTTTTTTTTTTTTTTTTTTTTGATTTCATTTAGGCTATTGCAATAAAGAGAACACCCACCTCAGCTCCAAATTTCAGAAAGTCTCAGGAGGGTGGCTTTGTCTTAGACCTTTACAGGGAGGAGTTAAAGCGACAGGTGGGGTGATTTTACAGTTGGGATTCTTTCAGTGTGAGGCTTTCTTCATAGGAGACAGCAGACCATTTGCTCACAGGCCCCAAATCCTGATGTTGTCTGTTTCCCATGACGCGTTCCCCAGATAATTGACTCTGGCTGTCCCTGCCCCCTCGGGACGGGGCCCCACGGGAAACCATGAAACAGATGTGGCAGCGTGACCATGTGCAAGCCGGGGGCTTTTTGTGCCAGAAGCAAGTGGCTATTCATTCCCCTAGGAAGCTCCTAGCAGCTGCCATGAAGCCAGACGGGGCTCAGTCACAAAAAGTAATGTGGTCTTATATGCAGAGGAGGGGTATAGTCAGAGAGGGCCCAGAGTGGGTGGAGGCAGTCAGAAAAGCCTTTCCGGGAGAGGGAAGGAAAGCGAGGGCCTGTGGACTTCAAAAGACGCACAGTGGTGCAGCTGATGGTTAGGGCGTGCATCCCGGAGCCAGACGCTCTGGGTACGAAGCCTGCCTGTGGTTTGCTGGCTGCCTGACTTTGGAAGACAAGTGATATAACCTTCTCGTCCTCAGTTTCCTCTATAGAGGGAAATCAACGGCAGTACCAGATTTGTTTGCTATTGCTATCTGTTGGCTATTACACACCCAGGGGCTTAGAGCAACACCCATCGGTTCAGTCACCGAGTTCTGTGCCTGAAGTCCAGCCTGGCCGTACCTGTGTTCTCTGCACAGCCTCTGCAAGGCTGACGTTAAGCTGTCCCCCAGGCTGAGTTCTCGTCTGGTGACTCTGGGGAGAAATCTGCTTCTGAGCTCGTTTTCGCCCCTGGCAGAATTTGCTTCCTTGTGGTGGCGGGACTGACGTCCCTGTTTCCCTGCTGGCTGTCGCCTGCGGGCCAATCTTAAGTCCTCAGTGTCCCTCGCCAGGTGGCCCCCTCCATCTTCAAGGCAGCAGTGGCCCCTCAGATCCATATCATACTTTGGATCTCTGATTTCCTTTTCTTTGATCAGCCGGAGAAAACTCCCTGCTTTTATTTATTTATTTATTTTTAATTTTTTTTCAACGTTTATTTATTTTTGGGACAGAGAGAGACAGAGCATGAACGGGGGAGGGGCAGAGAGAGAGGGAGACACAGAATCGGAAACAGGCTCCAGGCTCCGAGCCATCAGCCCAGAGCCCGACGCGGGGCTCGAACTCACGGACCGCGAGATCGTGACCTGGCCGAAGTCGGACGCTTAACCGACTGCGCCACCCAGGCGCCCCATAAAACTCCCTGCTTTTAAACGGCTCCCGCGATTAGGTCAGGCACACCGGGATAACCTGTCTATCCCAAGGTCAACTCATCTGGGACCTTAATTACATCTGTACAATTCCTCGACACCAGCACCTAGATTAACATTTGGTAGAATAATGAGGAGAGGGCGTGTTTACACCAGGGCTGGGAATCTAATGGGGCCACCTTGAAATTCTGCCTACTGAACATGCCTACTTCTTTTCTTCTTCTTTTTTTTTTTTTAATGTTTTTATTTATTTTTGAGACAGAGAGAGACAGAGCATGAGCAGGGGAGGGGCAGAGAGAGAGGGAGACACAGAATCCGAAGCAGGCTCCAGGCTCTGAGCTGTCAGCACAGAGACTGATGTGGGGCTTGAACTCAGGGACCGTGAGATCATGACCTGAGCCGAAGTCGGACGCTCAGCCGACTGAGCCACCCAGGCGCCTCCAAGCACATGCCTACTTCTAAGGAAACCGGGAGGCCTAAGTTAGCACGTGTACGGGGAGTCCCTGGGCCAGACCAAGTATGTTTCATGTTTGGGGAAGAGGGATTTGCATGCAGTTAACCAGTTGAGTTCCCAGGATTGATGAGAACTTCGTGCGGTGAAAGGAGAGCGTTGGGGACTGGGAACAATGGAACAGCTGACAAACAGCCTCTAGTCCTTGGCCAAAGGACTTCATTTTGATATAACTGGACACAGAAAGTGCCTGTCCTCCTTGACTGGACAACACTGAGAGCCTCCCTGATTTAGGTCTTTGCTGCAGAAACGGCAGCGAAGACTGGGTTCTGGAACGAGGGAGAAGGGACCCGAAGATGGCCCTGGGTTAGTCCTCTCAGACGCCATCTGTTTGGAGTATGTGACTCTGAGGAGAGTGGAGAGGTTTCCCCCGGCTACAAGTCCAGGGATGCGGAAACCGATGTAAATCAACAGCCCTTCCCAAACCAGTCAAGCAAAGCTCTAATTGGAAAAGAGAAATGGAAGTCACCCACAGGTCGGGTTGAGGCCCATTTTCAAACCAAAGGAGGTCATTTCCTTTCTTAGCCTGGCATCGCTGGCGGAAGAATCGGTCAGGGGGCCAAGGCCCTGTTGACTCTGGGAGAAAAGCAAATGGTCGCCCTCCAGGAGTAAGAACCTGGACTTTTATCTGCCTTTGCGAGTTGCACTGCCTGTTCCCAATCAATCCCAATGGTCTGGGGCCAGCACGAGATAAGCAGGAAAGAGAAAAAGAGGTACAGGCCTGGGGGGCTGGACGGGGTGAGAATAAAGAGATTGTATTTTTCATTCCATAGATGCCACGGTGGGAAGAAGCTTTGCCTTCAAAACCTCTTAGAACAGACAGTTCTCATTTCCAGCTGACTTCTTCGTCTTTCCTGGCGCCTTCTCTCCCCCCCCCCCCACCCCCCCCCCCCGCTCTCCTGTAGCTGCCTCGGCTGCTGGGTCTTCTCAAAGCTTCCCCCGGAAAAACTTGAGCCAATTTACTCCCCTTAAACAACTGTCAGGTTTGAAAAGCTGCCCAGTGTCTTCGCTGTGATTTTCAAAGAG